TATTTATAATACAATTTCTTCCAGACTAGTCCACACGTAATCTTCTGCCCCGCCCTAAGAGGGAACAAAATGTTGATCTCGGGTGTTTTTAATGACATGCTTGAATGAAAAAAGCGTGTCCAATCCTCTCTGTATTGTTAAATGCCAATGGGGAAGACCAATGCTATGATAAACTCAGCCCACCACACACACACACATACACACACTTGAGCCCCCCCCCCCCCCCAAACCCATCTTGCGTCTGTTTTTACTTTAAAATGACACAGTATAAGATGTCCATATTATGTTCAAAATATCCACTTTCCTCCTCGAGAATGGATGTCCATCCTAAACAACCCCGACTTCAAAGACGATATAACCCACCCACCTGTGAAGGTCGAGCTGATGAAAACCTTGATGACCTTTGACTTGACCTTCGGCGTATCCTCCAGCTTGAGGCACCCTTTGAGTAGTTTCTCCACCAGAGTGCGCTCCGACTGGTCCAGGTGTTTGTAGGTAAACGGCTGTTCCCGCTGAGCTCTCTGCTCCTGGTCCTTCGTGTCGCCGACCACCACATCCTCAAGGTGGCGGTACCGCATGGTCATGGTTGTGTCTGGCAAAAAAAGTGAAATGGTATTATAGGTCTAACGCCCCTTATATTAACACTATTAGCTTATTTAAGAAGAAAGAGCTGCGAGTTCAAAGTCCATCTCCCAAAGGACCGAGCCTGAAGGGAAATTCTAGTTAAATTAAGAGCATTTCCCAGGTCTGGGACAGATCAAAGAAAATCGGGGTGATAAGATTTAACTTAAGAATAAAGAAGAAGAGCTGGGGTTTGTCTTTAGAGCAAAGAAGAGGGTAGTGGGTGCTTGGCAGGTGCTCTGGTGTGGTTTGCTCCTTCTTTCCTATCCAACATCTATTTTCCTTATCTCTCCTCCTCTATTTTTTGGTTTGTTACCCTCTTGTAACACCACTATCTTAGACAATTATGATGACACAATTGGGCTACTGGTGATGTACAACGCTTACTGAAACAAACTAAGGAGCGAGGATGTTAACTTTCTATGGGCGTAGCGGACATGATTATGTCCGATCAGCAGCAGACCAAAAGCAACGTTGCAGCACATTTTGAACCATCATACACAAAACAGAAACTCGAACTTGCATAATATTTTAAATTGTGCATGTTGTTAAACACCTTTTACATTTCAGATCAGGAAATCAGAACTGAAAATTCTGTATGAACGAGGAATTTAACATGCTTTATTCTTAAATAGCCCTCAAATAAAAAGTCTTCAAACGTGAGCGTGTGCAATTGGTTAAATATGTAACTGTGGGATAAAGGAGAGGAGCGAGAGTAAACGATATTTTTGTCTCAGGAACAAAGACAAAAGTGACAGATTTGTTCCCGAAATAGGAGTTAAATAAAAGATTTGTTTGTTTTCGAAAAAAAAGTAGAGAAAAAAATTGGCTGCTCGAAAGCATTTAGGAGTAAAAGAACTGTCTCTGAAACAAAGTAGGAGAAAGGTAAAAGACTTCTCTGTGCATCTGTGCGTTTATACCACAGGGTGGCCGATACGTTGTAATTTCATTTCGTATTCATTGTTGACACCCTGTGATCACTGTGAGTGATAACGATATAATTTAATAGTCACGTCGTATTGGAAAAACTGTCAGTGCAAGAGGCACAGGCTGTTCCTAAAACCTTCGATTAGGTTTGCTCGGGTTAATGAGCCATGAACATGGAATATTATATCCCCGACCATGAACTCTAGCGTATATCTGGTTCACTAAGGAGCGCGCCATTCAATTCAGTTTGTGCCAGATAAAGGGCAGTGGGGGAAGGATGCCGCAGTCCTCAACTATCAAGAGACTGTTTGTTATCCATCGTCTGGCGATAATGGCGAGGCCCATGGTTAAAAACACTTCGTTGCAAAGTTTTACATTGAGCAAAGAGCAGCAGTCACCATTGTGCGTCGTCTAGGAGTATGTCTATGGGTTAGACTTCCGGAATATCATTCTTAAAAAATACAGTAAATGAAATTATTGTAATCTATCTTAACAGAGCGGGCGGTTGCATGGTGCCACTGGTAGGCCCTACTTCTTTATCTTCCCTCTTTTTTTCTGTCAGTCAATCATACTTTTTCCCGGCAGTCAATGATAATTTTAGTATCGATGTGCTTCTCTTTACGCATTAAAAACAAAAATAAATTAAATAGAAATCTACCCTAACAGAGGTCTTCGATTCTAAAAAGAGTTAGTGTTGTAATGGCCAGGATCGTCCCCACTTCACACAAAATTGTGGACTCTATTTCTGTGCGGCGTAATTCTGCCGTGAAGTAATCTTATCTTCTGGGACATTGTATCGCATTCAGCCGGGATTGGTCCTGACAGGCTGGTACGAAGGAAATCACCCCACAAAGGATCTAAACTGTGTCGGTGACCGGGTGAAACATTTACAGTCATTGTGTATTGGGATTTGTTTTGGATTGTTTTTGTTTTTTTACAATAATTTATTTGTCTGTTTAAAATAATGTTTGGTTGGTTGGATGGTTGATTGGTCGGTCGTTTCTTTCTTTTTGTATTTCTTTCGTTCTTCCCGTCTTTTTCGGTAAATGGGGCAGGGGAGGTTCATAAAAAAATGTAAATTTGGTTGAGATGTTAACGGAAATATGAAAACTTAGTCTTTGAATTGCACACACGCAGTTCCTGTCCTAGCCCTGCAAAAAATCAATATTGTCTCTTGTGTCATGATAAAGCTGTAAGCCAGGGGGGGAGGGGGATCGATATAGATCAATATTCACTGGACAAATCAATACTCCCTGGGGGTTAAGTGTACGTGTAGGAAGGCTGATAAGGAGAAACAAAGGAGGGTTGTAAGGTGGTAGGAGTTGCAGAGGGGGGTTGTATGCGTCCTCGGTTATATTCTGTATTCCGTTACAGTTTTTCTAGTCACGCTGCCGAAGTTACATAATAAAAAGGTATCGTTGTTTCTCAACTTCTTTTTGTTTTGGCACATTGGTTTTTTTAATTTGAGCGCTTGAGGTCCGGGAAGGAGAGGGGAGGGGGTGGGTGCGGTATTTGAAATGAGTCTACTACTTACTGCCTTATTCATTTCGCCGTTGTTATCTATCGAGTGCCAACAAAGACCGAGGATTAGCGTCGTCAGAGCGATTGTACACGTGCACTGAAAGACACTCTCTGATCGAAAAAAGCGTGATCACTGGTATGGTTTGAACGGTTGAAAGACTTGCCGTATGAGACACGAATGTGAGGCAAAAGTATTAGATCTAATTCTCTGTATTTGCTGTCGTCCGTACAAGTAGCGAGTTTCACTTTCCTTAGGGGCGTTTTTTAAAGAAAGAATCGACAAATCCCCATCTGCCTGCTAAAGTGCAGTTTCCTCACTCAAATTGAATTAGCTCTGATAGGCGGAGTTGAATCAGTCTGCCCCCCTCCCCCCTAAATTTATGTAACCTTGACTGTACCGAGGGGGTTGGGGTCTTTAAAAGAGTGAACTACCATAAAACCCCATCAAAACACAGGCTTACTTTATTGAGGATCCACGTCTATGATGTGGCGGTGAGAGTCTGAGCCGTTCACTATTTAGATACTAGTACAGCATGTGAAGTAAAGTAAGTGTATGGATTTTACACACCTATTAACAATGTTAGGCTATTTTGAGGCAGTACCTCCGAATTTAGCGCATGTCTTCGATATGACCGAGCGAAATGGGTTGCGAGCCTTGTAAACTCCACAAAAAGACCCGAGTTTAAGAACGCCGAGTCTGAGATTCGAAACGGGCTTCCCTCTCCGTAGCCCAGCTTTATTGCGGAAGGAGCTCTTCCATAATTGGGTTAGGGGGTGAGTTGAAAAGAAATAGACCTGGCAGGGAGTAGTGATAATAATTGCAATAACTGAGAACAAAGAATTTAAACGATTTTCATACACCAAGCAGTTCATTTCGAGCATTATGAAAATATAAAAATCCGGTGAATCAGAATAACATTTTTATAAACTGTGTTTCCAATCATTTTAGATTAGTTAAATATCGTTAGACATCGAAGCGAATAAAAGTAAAGTGTGTCAAACACACACACATACACATACCCCCCCCCCA